TCCTTCTTTCCTTTCCCCCTTCTTTCCTTTCCCCCTTCTTTCCTTTCCCCCTTCTTTCCTTTCCCCCTTGTTTCAGCTGCCTTTCATGGTGTGTCTGGAGAGCTGTCAACAAGTAGTATGTTAATGTGAGATATCCAAAATGAAGATAACTTTCCCCATGTTGAATTAATTTCTTTTCAAGAACCTTTTTTCTTTTTGTATGTTTTAGAACTTAAAAAATAACATGGATATTTGCTGATGAACTGCATTAAGGGGTGGGAGCTTTGTCACAGATTTTTAGGTATGCAGTAATGCAGAACAGGGTCCCTCTCAGTYTATAGAAATACAATAATACAGAATTGCTAGAACTTGTCAACTTACTAATGAGAAATAATATTTAATAATKATTTTGTTAAATAATTGTTTAATTTTAAGTATTTTAGTTATTTCCCACTAACTGAATTTTACTTTATGCAGTCAAATTGCGAATGGGAAGCAGTTGTTTATGGAAAAACAGAAGACCAGCTCATCATGACTGAACAAGCAAGAAGATACCTGAGCACTTACACAGCTACCAACAGCACTTCCAGGGCTCTGATACTGTGATGATCACTGCAGCTGACAACCATCTCTTTCCATAAGTGACAGAGCTTGAGAGAGACTCCAGCAAAACACTTGTAAACTAAGCCTTTATTTTGAGATATTTCCCTTCTAAGGGAAACCTTCATGCTTGTTTTCTTTTCTGACAGACAAAGAGCAGACACAGCTTTTGCCTTCTTTGAGGGGATAATACAAACAATTCTGCAATGAATTGCTTAAATGATAAAAAAAAAAAAAAAAAGAAAATAACATTCTTTTTATATTAGTTTGAGTGTTGCAGTACATGTCAAAATACAGTTATTAGGTCCATTTTTCATATTCTTTTGATTTGCATTACTTTTTTCCTGTTAGTACAGTTTCCACATAGAGTAGGCTTATAGATCCTTACTGATTTCTGAACAAGCAACATACGTGACTGAATGTGCTTTTGCTTATGTAGCATTTTGCTAGTATATAAAGAAACACAATGGAAAGGAGTTTAAAGGAAGGAGAGAAAGTTGCACTACTAATTTTTTGGTATGCTGCAAAAAATGAAAATAACTACAGTGTTAAATATATTTATTTGGGAATGGTACTAGAAATAGGCAGAGGGGATGAATTAGGTTTTAGTGTAAAGCATCAGTATTTTCTTCATAAATCTCAAAATGAGATGATTGAATGTATTGTACAGTTTGTAGGAGCAGGGRAAAATTTGTAAATTGGAAAGGAGTCTGTTTTTATAATTTATTTTCATTTTAAAGCTTAAATGTAGATATTTATGTGTATGCAGGTTGTCTAGAAGCCAACGTTGTTTCCTGTTATAACAGCTAAAATGGAAAAGGACAAGTTTAACTTAAAGTATGGAATAGCAGAAGAATTCCAGTGTTGAAGTGTACAAACCTATACTGTATGTTACATCTACATAAAGATTGCACTATAAACCCTTAAATCATGTTGGTCTATGAAATAGTTACAAGGTATACCTGTATTATACAGTAACTGTTCCTGGAACTTACTAAATATATTTAGAAAGCAAGCTTAGGGTCCTATATGTGACCTGAGAGTACTCTGTCCTACATAGGAACTAAAAATTAATGCATTTTATTATAACTTTTTGTTTTTTTTTAAGGAACTTGGCACCTTGTTTCTCAAAACCGTTTTATCTGCACTTAAGTTTGACCATTATATATATATATACTAAATGGTTGACGAGCAAAGAGAACATTCTTTTATTTATGAAAATCTTTTTGTCCTTATTTAAACACACACAGGTCACAACAGTTGCTTTAGTTGCCTATTATTAGGTATTTGCACTTTTTTTTTTTTTTTTGAAGGAATGTCTTGGTTCGCTTTTGTTGTAGAGATTTTTATGTAGTTAATTCCTAGCAGATTATAATGGTGTGCTATCAACAGGTACTGGCAGGTGAACAGAATTGTACACTGTAGTTTTAGCTATTTATAATTCAGACACTCTTCCTCTCCACTCCGGGTGTGCTGCTATGTCGGTAGCGGCAGAATCGGCTTGCTGCTATGAGAGATGGAAAGAGCGAGCATCATATGCACTGTATGTAAAACTACAAAAATGATGTCAGGTTCTCTAGTTAACTTCATGAGATCAACCAGTACTATGCAGGGCGTGGGACGTTTCCCTATCACTTCAATAGCCCAGACAGTAGCAATAGTTTTATGATGGAAAATTGTAACRCGTGGTGAGCGGCACAAGGAAGGTCATGGGTTCTTAAACTTTTTTAAACATCTCAAAGCTTATACAATCCTTATTTTTAGGAGCTTTTTGATATTAAATGTTTGCCTAGCTATGGCAGGAGTAGGCATAAAAACATTTTTAGTAGCTTTTAATTCAGAGGAAAATTTTAAAGGGGGGTGGGGGGAGCCAGTAAGCAGGGGGACCACAAAACACCCRTGAGGCCAGCACGGCTCCTCACCCCTGGCTGTGGAGAGGAGGTGCCTGGCGGCCCTGGCAGCAGCAGGTTTAGGCACGTTCAGAATGGACTTAACAACAAAATGCTGTTTCAGCACAAAAGGAATTGACGGCAGATAAAATAACGCATTTTGAGAGAATAAATATCCGGAATCTGGATGATATTTCAGTAGAAGTGACATCACCAAAACTGCCTATATACCAATGTTAAGTGTAGATTTATGGTAAGTAGTATTAATTTGTTTTAGTATTGGTTGGATCGTCTAGTTAACTCTTTGTTGCTTTAGCAAGAAGGTTTTAATCTTTGTCAGGCATCTTTTATTACTTCTTGGATGTTGTGTGCATTTGCATTTCTTTCAGTTTATAAGTAGATTGTACATGCAGCCGCCAAACTTGCATGAAAACTCCATACATATTCCTGCATTTTTCTTTTTGTTTTAARGTTTGACATACTGTACAACAAATGCCTTGGTTTAATCTCAGTTTTTTTGTTGTACAACAAACTACTTTTATGTAAGAGCATTTCACATACAATACAGACCATATTATTGTCAGAAATAAAGCTTCTGTGTACCAGGTTATTGGAAATGCCTCTTATTTGAGAACTTCACTACTCAGTGCTCTCCCGTAGCTGCTTGCTTCTACGTATGAGTCCAAAAAAGATTTTGAGTGCTTTGCTAATTTCCTGCTAATTGATGTGGTGGGGAAAAGTGTCTCCTTGTCGTCTTGTAACCAGTTTGTGATGACGTGATTTTTGTAATGCGCTTTTGACCTACTCTTTTATCCCCTTTTTAGTGGATAAAAATCTCTGCATGTCTGTGCATCTCCTGTCAGTACCAGTGAGTTAGATCAACACATSAGGAGAACTAGACCTGTGTTATTCAAAGGTTAATTAGAAACTTGTGCTGCTTTTTGTGCTGAGCTCAACTAAGAAAGCAGTGACACAACTTAGGAGCATAACACAAGGTTGCTGGTGTTTAACAGCAATTCTGCCCTCAGTTCCTAGGTTAAAAAATGAAAGAATATTTTCTGAGGTCAAATTAAAATGAAACTAGGACTGCTAGGTATGCTAACTAAAGCAGTATCGTGCTTTGGGCAGGAGTTTTTTGACCCTCCTTCCTTTATTTGCTATAATTGTACACAGAAACTAAAGAAGTCACCTTGGGCAAACTTGCCAACAGGTAGCCTGGAATTTGTGATGGATAAGCCTCCCTCCTTCCCTGTCCTAATTTTGTGCTGATTTTACAGTGTCCCCAGTACATCCCATCCCTCACACGGGAAAATTTATACAMATGCCCTTAAACTGGTAAGCTGCTTTCTGTAAGGATGGGATATGATTGGGTTAGGGCATCCACAAGTGACTTGTGTGGTGAGAAATCAAGTTTTTACAACCCCATTCCTTTCCACCCAATTGATGAGCAGAAAATTCATGTCTCTGGCACTTGGGGAGGGATTTGTCATAGGGTCAAACATTTGATTTCTTCAAAACAAGGAAATCAAATCCARGACCTGTATCTGAGGTCCTCAGAGGAAGTAGCGAGGTGCTGTAGGCTTAGTCTGTAGACTTGGAGTGCTGCTAAGGGCTCCAGCAACGGATGGCAGTGGCTACTGCTCTGCTTCCCTAGCGAGGAAGGGGTTGTAGCTGCCTCTACTCAGGAGGCTGCCGAAGCATCTTCCTAGTGACACATTAGGGACCTTTTATCAGCTCACAGTCTTAGGAACAAAAAAATAAGCGTTTCAATACCTGCTGATTTAAAACTTCCATGTAATTTCTTTCTGGAAAAGGATTTTGTGTGACTTAAAATTCATCGTAACAGTAGTTATATTTCTTGTCTTCTGTTTTGGGCAATTTGGTGGTGAAGCTGTCTGTGGTGAAAAGGAGGATCAAAACCTTATCACAATCCAGCAGCGCATGCAATTTTTTCCTAAAACAAGAATTTTATTTTAGTGACTGCTTGATGTCCAATCGAGTTGTCTGATATCTGCTGATATTTACTGAGTTATACTTTACTATGTTTTACTATAATTTACTGTGTTTTCTTTTTCTTTCCCCCATGTCTTTTTCTTTCCCCCATGGGGTTAATGTTGCTCAAATAATTCACTTACAGTACAAAGCTGAAAGAATGAGGTATATCATAAAGTGAATTGCGTGCAATGGTATGGGAATCTTCCAGGATTCAAAAAATAATGTTGAAACTGGATCTGATTCGTTCGTGCATTTAGTTTTATGACAAAGGGTCAGATAAAGGTTCATGCTTAGGTAGTAAATCCTAGAATCATTATGGTTGGGAAAGACCTTCAAGATCATTGAGTCCAACCATAAAATACACCTAGTGTCTTGTGCTGCAAGACTTCTCTTAATTTTTTCATAAGTTTCCTTGTTCTTGGATAAGCAACTATTCCGGGCTGTAACTGCTCACTTTCACGAGGAAGCTGTGGATTACTGTTTCTGTCCAGGGAAGCCAAAAGCCGGATCTCTCCCGAGGCTGCAGCGCCGTGCTGCTCCGTGTGGCTTCCCCTGAGAGCGCCAGTTCATCCGTTCATGGGTTGGATCCTTGCCCTGCGGCTGAAGGGAAAAATAGGATCCTTGTAGTCCTGCTAGGAAGATGTGTCRGAAGAACAGGTAAGCTCAGGGTATTTGAACACACTCTATACCAAACTGTAAAGTGAAAAATCCAAATATCTGTTGTATTTCACTTTAATACTCTCAATTTAAGGTACTTTAAGTGTGGGGTACCAAATCAAAAGGACTTCTCTCACACAMACTGCTGCTTGGCTGCATGATGCCAGGGACGCTGCTGCTGTTTCACAGCCAATCTGGTCGGCTTGCTGCTACAGAAGTTGGTGTCTTCATTTCAGGTCCACTTTCAGAGAGTCCTCGAGTTTCCTGTTTACCTGACACTGGTTTCCTGGTGTCCGTACCTTCCGACTGTGGAGAGGACACAAGTTAAGGSCTTTTGCACAGGCAAGATGGACAGGGGCTGGGGCTGGCCAGGCAGCACGATAGCTCCCCAACTGCCCTGTGTTTGATCCCTGTGTTAGGCTTTTGCCTTTACTAGTGGGATCACGTTAGATCCAAACTGTTTTGTTTTTCTACTCAGCGTTTCACTTATTTCCCACTTACCCTCCCCATCACACGCCCGTCCCTGCTGCAGGCGGGGGGTTGTGCTGCACGCCTGSCTTCCTGAGCCTGTCTGACAGGTAGGAGCTGCACAGTCTGGGGCAGTTAAATAAAAAATGAAGAACAAGGGGGCTCAGGGTAGGAAATCTAGCTGGCTAGCCAAAAGAAATTTCCCTGGAGAGCTGGATGTGCT